ACCATACGTATTTTGACCGCACTGCCTTCTGTTAAAAAATAACAGAACTGCATGCCTGATTTCTGATATATGTCACCACTAAGAACAGCAGTGACATCTGAAGGAAAATTAACGCAGAAGGATGGTAACGCTGATGAATAAACAATTTTGTCAAGCTTCTGCATTAATTTTCCATAAGATGCCCCTGCTGTTGTTTGCAGTGACATCAATCGGAAACTACGAATAATCTTTTTGCCATTAATTATTCATAGAGCACAGTACAGAGCAAAACATTTCAGGTACCTTATATATTATTATGCATTAAGATTAACATAAAAAGTCCCTCCTTTTTTACATATTATGCACAAACATACTTTCTACGCCCTGCCCTTAACTGGAATTCCCACCATTTTTATAAATGGTTGAGGCAGAAAGTATCTTTTGTGCACAATATGTACAAAAGGAGGGACTTCGAATGTTAATCTAAATGCATATATATAGAGGTACCAGACATATTTTGCAGTGTCAGGTACTCTATGTTGTAGTCTGAGGGAAATCTTAAATCAGAATACATGGCATGTTGAGTTGATTGAATTGGATAAAATTGGAATTTGTTGGCTCAATAATGTAAGAGAAAAACTTTTTTTTTATTTTGTTTAACAATAACTTCAGGGAAAAACCTAAACTACAAAGTTCATGAACGATTGCTTTAGGAGTCGTCAACTTTTTTTGATCATAATATGCTTCAAAAGCGTATTATTTTCCCCTTTTCAAATTTATATATGGGGATTTTTATTAATTACTACCAATGGAACAGCGCCATCTGTGTGAAAAATAGCCTTGACTTGATGGTTCAGACTTCTCTGCCACCGCTTGTATTCGTAAGCGGTTTCACTGGTTTAAAATATAAAAAAAAACCGCTGTCAGATCGAACACTTTGTCAGATGATTTAGTGGATGAAAATAATAAACAAACAGCTTGGTACACGACTAAACTAGTAAATTTGTATTGATATGACAACTTAGTGATTCACTGTGTCGTGACCGGACCGAGGTTTCCAGCCTCGGTCACGGTTACACGAATCCGCGATGTTCTCGGCTGCTCTCTCCTTGACTGCTGTGCCGCAGTTTCTGCTGCTACTGTTACTGCTGCTGCTACTGCTGCTTCTCCATAAATATTTGTCACAAAAATGTCCTCAACGAGCTAAGGTACCTCATATTTATACCTGCTAACCTATCAAAATTCTCTAACCAATGAGATTCCGTTTACATACGGACTATCATGCTTAACGCTCACTCGATTCTACTCATTATTTATTCAACCCCTCTTCCCCTCTTCTACTCTCCTTAATTGAGAAAGGGGGGCATTATATCCACCCATTCGGGGAAATTTCATCTACTCTCTCGGGGGACTTTCAACTACCCTCTCAGAGAAATTTCATCCATCAGGTCATAATTATCTTCAAACTTTCCGCCTACTTCAGTATCTTCTACATTATCATCGATATCAATCCCCACAATTAAATCCACTTTAAAAAATGCCATCAAAATTCTATAATAATCATCTCCAATACGGTTATCAGCTCCTACATTGCTATTGCCATCTACTTTTAAATTTTACAAACCATCATCTTCAAAGTTGCCATTATCTTCAACACCATTATCAACTGGAAAGTGTAACGCATTTAAATCTCATTCAAAGCTTGTCAAAATATCTCAAGCTAGCAAATCAATCTTCGATAAATGTACCTTCATTTTATACATCTCCATCTTCATTAATTTTCAATCTCTGTACTCATCATGGGTGCATCTTATTACTGAGAATCAAGATCTCCTGTATTAACACTTTGGCTAGAAGACCGCTCGCTTCTACTGTTCATGTTCAACCTCGGAAATCTCTCGCTCCGGTAATTTTCAAAAAATTATTATATATATATTATATATATATATTATATATATATATTTTAGAAGGCCTTACTATTTATCTATTTTGCCTTGGAGTCTTCTCACATCACTAGAGATGAACTAGCCTAAGGCTAAAAATCTCTTTAATAAAGTTAAAAAAAAAAAATTCTCACGTTTTGCCTCGGAGACCTCTCACTCCGAAAATTTTCAAGAATTCTACTATTATCACTATTTTTTAGCATACAATACATCAGGTCATGGTAATTATTTTGCTTAATTTCTTCAGAGTACTTTTCCATTTATTATGTCGTATTAATTCTTATTTACCATCCATCAGGTCATGCTAATTCTTATTTACCATCCATCAGGTTATGGTAATTCTTATTTACCATCCATCAGGTAATGGTAATTTTTATTAACCATCCATCAGGTCATGGTAATTCTTATTTACCATCCATCAGGTCATGGTAATTATTATTTATGATCCATCAAGTCATGGTAATTCTTATTTACCATCCATCAGGTCATGGTAATTCTTATTTACCATCCATCAGGTCATGGTAATTCTTATTTACCATCCATCAGGGCATGGCAATTCTTATTTACCATCCATCAGGTCATGGTAATTCTTATTTACCATCCATCAGGTCATGGTAGTTCTTATTTACTATCCAGTAGGTCATGGTAATACTTATTTACCATCTATCAGGTCATGGTAATTCTTATTAACCATCCATCAGGCCATGGTAATTCTTATTAACCATCCATCAGGTCATGGTAATTCTTATTTACCATCCATCAGGTCATGGTAATTCTTATTAACCATCCATCAGGTCATGGTAATTCTTATTTACCATCTATCAGGTCATGGTTATTCTTATTTACCATCCATCAGGTCATGGCAATAATACTCCGAAAATTTTCTCAGTGTATTTTTTCCATTTCACCATACTCACTTTAACACTATATGCTGCTACCGGCTCCGCCATTGTTGTGACCGGACCGAGGTTTCCAGCCTCGGTCACGGTTACACGAATCCGCGATGTTCTCGGGTGCTCTCTCCTTGACTGCTGTGCCGCAGTTCCTGCTGCTACTGTTACTGCTGCTGCTACTGCTGCTGCTACTGCTGCTGCTACTGCTGCTGCTATTGCTGCTGCTACTGCTGCTGCTACTGCTGCTGCTACTGCTGCTGCTACTGCTGCTTCTCCATAAAAATTCGTCACAAGAATGACCTCAACGAGCTTAGGTACCTCATTATACCTGGCTAACCTATCAAAATTCTCTAACCAATGAGATTCCGTTTACATACGGACCACAGACAAGCAGACGTAACTCTTCATTGTGTATCTTCGTTCACGCATTTAACGGTTGATTTGAATATTATCAGTTCCGCGAACTACTCACCGCAGCGCTGCCATCGGATCACTTTGTCGTTTCTATCCATTCTATAGAACTTTTATGCAATATTGTTTGCGAGTTACCGAGCAAGCTTGTTTTCCACGAGAAGCCTAAAAGATGTCGCTACTGAGGTCCTATGTTTTGAGATACTATGTTTTCATGAAAAACTTTTTCAAAGAGTTACGTCTGTTTGTCTGTGTACGGACTATCACGCTTCACGCTCACTCGATTCTACTCATTATTTATTCTACACTAACTTTATCTACTACACACTGGTCACCCTAAGTGATGCCCCATAGCTTCGACCAGCTTTCGACTGTCTGGCTGAACAAGTGGAAGCTATTTGACAAAAATGGTGTATGGATGAAGATTTCCGTTACTCTTTCTCTCCCTCTGTTAATGTGGTGTTTACATCTGTACGGATTTCCTAGCGCTAGTGTACTAGCACTGTGCCAAAGAGTAACAAGCATAATGTAAACCGGGCTTCAGCGAGTACCAACATGAGATTTCAGGAGCAACTGAAATTCGAGCTAGTTGGCAAGTACACTAACGCTAGCAAATCCGCACAGATGTAAACCGACTTGCTCCACTGTCGGGCTGGGCCGATGGTGGTGGTGGATGCGATTTTGCAGAAGCATTTTGGAACGACGAAGATTTCTTCTCACTACACCGTGCAGTGCCTGGGCCGGAAGGTATTTGCGGTGGTATGAGAGAATAAACTAGCTATAGTTTCCTCTTTCTTACCAACGCAAATCCCACGCTGCACAGTGCAGTGTGCAATCCCTTTTTGCTGCTCCTCCTTTCCGTCTACTCTGGCGGAGATCTGCTAGCTTCGACCAGCTCAACTATTTGACAGCAACTGATGGTGGAAGCTTGACTTCAAATTATGTTTATTTCTTGAATTTGTGTGGTTTACATGTATGAATGTTTAAGTGACACAGATGCGTCTTTTCAACTTAGTTCATTACCTTAGTTCAAAAACTGATGGTGGGAGTGACTTGGTAGACCCTTTTGTAGACGAAAATTCTGGCTGCTCTTCCTCTTCCACTATCCCTGCGTAATCAGTTTACGCTGAGCTCCGATCAGATTACCAGAAAGCACTGCGATGGAAAATTTGCGCACCAGCTGGAATTTGATGTCCGTGCAAGAGAATATAAATCTACTTTATTCAGTGGTGTCGCGTAATTTCACTTTTTACCTGTGCCCAACTTTCAAAAACAGATTTAATGGCATATTGATACTCGAATCGGTTGAAAGACACACTTAATCTTCTAGTTAACTCGATATCTATCCATTGCAAGCAATATTTTGATAATTGTTTATGTTTTGGGAATTGGTGTACAGGTAGATTGAGGTTAAGGTGACGCCACTGATTTTATTCCAATCGGGTTCTTAAAAAAAGCTTCCACACAATAACAAGCACATTATTACCCATCAAACCGATACCGGGCATCATTCCCGGCTGCATGCTCATTATCGCATAACGAACAGTTGATAAGCAACCGGGACGGTTGCCAGGCCATAAGCCCTCAAAAAAAAAAAGTTATATATTTTGCGTACTGATAAGCGATAATTGATGGTGACGATTAATCACATCGTCTTAAGTGCCTACCGAAACACGCTGCCATAATCCATACCAATTTACACCCGATTTGCCAAGACAACAATGGCGGTGGTTGAAGTTCTATCAGCGTTAATTAATTAACCTATTTCACACAGATCGATGCCGTCCTGCTGGGAGCGAAGCGTATCGGACATGGATTTGCTGCCGTTAAACATCCACGGGTGATGGAGGAGCTCAAGAAGCGCAACATCTGCATCGAACTGAATCCCATCTCCAATCAGGTTCTGAAACTGGTGGACGATTGCCGCAACCATGCGGGTGCGATTTACTTCTCGGACAACTATCCGGTAGTGGTTTCCTCGGATGATCCTGCCTTCTGGTGCGCATCTCCACTGTCGCACGATTTCTACGTAGCATTCCTAGGACTGGCATCGGCTCGACAGGATCTACGACTGCTCAAGAAGCTGGCACTCAACTCGATCGAGTACAGCGGGATGACCAAGGCGGAAAAGGTGGAAGCCAAGCTCAAATGGAACGTTGCCTGGAACCACTTCATCGATCAGACACTCAAGACAATCGATCAGTAGGGGGGATGATATCTTTACAAACTCAGTATTCATCCGTCAGCATCGTAGCATCAGAGACATTCGAGCGAGCATCATTCCATCAAGTGAACCTAAATTCAATGTTATCTCATGCCATTCGTATGTCTTCCGTTCGGGGGCCTTATCTTAGAGGGACAATAAAATGTTGGCAGCGATATGGCTATGATATGTGTTTTATTTTTAACCGGTAATAGACGGGTTATGATTACTGTTGGCGTCAATTTAGATGGACCCATGAGAAAAGGTCAGTACCTAAAGATGTCATTGAATTATTAGACAATCAAACGAGCTGAAATATTGACACATTTTTCAGGCGGTAAACGAAACATAAGTCGATAATAGTTATTGCACCGTAGCTCGAAAATAATCTCAACGGAATCTATGATTTATGACATGAAATGGGTCAGCCTTGCAGTTACTAGAGGTTTATCTCAATGTTATCGTTTGGTTGATAACAGTTGTATTAGCTATTGCCTTGGTGCCTTTAATTTCTATACAACCGACTTTTCGTCCATTTGGCATTTTGTCCAACTCGACCGTTTCGTTTCGTAGAAATACTCAGTAAACAACAGTAAAAGAATCAATTTTTCCCCCGTCAAAATAGAACACAAAACAAAAAGGAAGCATTCCACTCGTTCGCCCAGCAACCCTCCGACACTGTCCGGAAAGGAGCTAAATGAACGAAGGAAAAGTATCATCCTGCAATACAACGTGCTCCGGTAAGTGAGTCAGTCGTCGGCCGGGTGGGAGTATCGGCTAGTGGAAATGAATAGGCTACCACTTTTCAAGAGATTCCGGGAAAAAATTGTTCTCCGGAGAAAGCTCTTTTCTTCGGGCTAGCATTTAAACGTGACCCAAATCCACGATGACTTTGTACGGGCTCACGACGAGCGCAATTGAGGGTGCCACGTGGGGGCATCCAAAGTGGAGGTGGGTGGGCGTAAGAGATATGATTGGATTTATTTGCAGTACGCTATCCACCCTCTCTAGGACGAAGTCCGGCGATCCTTTTTCGTGAATGGAACAAAAGATACAAGTTACTCTTCTCCGTGGCAATAGCGAGCAATAACTTTATCTGAAGCATTTGTAGGTTTAATTTTCTGCACAAAAAGCAGAACATCCATCACCATAATGTATCGCTAGTGTTTGGGTGGACGAACGAAAATGGAAAACTCCCGCCCACGTGCATGAGCAGAACTGTATCATTGAGCTTTTCTGACTTCGAGAAAGACGACAAACTTTGGTTGCTCGTTTGGCTGTCTAAATAGAGCCATTCACCCGAGGTGGGAACGAATCCCAGCCAAGGGAAGGGATATCAAAAATTTGTCACTGAAGCTCACCACACATACCTACACCAATTGACCGGGCCACAGGAAGGAAGAGGGAAAACTTTTGCCACGAATAAACGGACCAGAAATTAATTTTAATTATATCAATCGACTTGGGTTATTCATCGGAAGAGACGGGTGGAAAATGGAAGCAGCACAGACAGGAATATCTATGGCTCTGTTAAACTAGTACCGTAGTGGAATGGACAATTTTCTTAAGAGCTCTTGATTTGGATGATGCAGAAACAAGATTTTTCGATTGAACTTGTCCACCTCCAATTGCTCTTCTATTTCTTGTGTATGAGTATGGAGAAGGGGCATTGGCGAACTTTGACTATATGTTTAGTATTACCTCTGCGTGAAGTCAACGATTTACATAGTTGAAGAGGCTAATTTCAAATAACAGACAAAAGTGGTAATTTTTATACGATAGATAGAGGAGACGAAAGTCTAGAGTTGATAGTTTCGTAAGAGTACGGCAGTGTGAAAATTGCATATAGATAGTAGATAGCGAGCTAGGACAACTTTTAAGGAAGGTACAAATCGGTTTTTTCATCTCTCTTTACCAAACTCCCCCTTTGGTGAGGGATGGTGAGGGGTGTCTCCCCCCTGCCACCACTGGCAAAAAGAGAAGAACGCTGTACCAACGATGTGTTTGAAACGATTGGCGTAGCTAGAAAATTTATCTGGAGGGGGCCAAAGTGGGACCTGTTGCACTTTTTTAATTTTGCAAAACTACGGTTAAATAAAAACTCACTCAAATTACGTCAAGGCAACTTATTTTTGAGTACATTTTTTCTGTGACCAATAATATGACATTGAGGCTTACTATTATTTTAATGGTGAAACAAAATATTTGATTACATTTATTCCATAACAACTATTGAGACCTCGATTGAGAGAGCCTTAAACGCTTACTGGTTTTGAACAAGCAATGATCGTTTGTTCATGGTTTTTGTAGTGAAAGCACAGTCGGGAACTTGTAAATGTAAGCATCTCAAACTTAAGAAAATTCTCAGAGTAAGATAATTTCAATTTTGTAAGTAGCTGTTTTTACATTTTGAATACTTCGCCATTAAATTCTGGGAGTTTGAATTTTATAATTTTATAAAATTTTGACAGTTTCAAGGTATAGTGCACACAAAATAAATTAAATACATTTAATACGTAGGAAAATGTTCAACATACACAATTTTTTGACGTAGGACTACGTCTGTGATTTTTTTTTTAGGGGGCACACTTTGTGCAAACCGAAAATAAAACATGTAACAAAATTATGAAAGAATTTGAACGTTAATAACTCAGCTGCCCCAGAACCAATTGCAATAATTTTATCACCAATCGATTAGAAATATTTCTACGCATCGATAGCATTGCATTCAACTGATGATTTTCAACAAGAAACTATTGAAAACATGGGAAATGTTAAGCATTGTCCAAAAGCGTTGAAATAACTAACAAATCCACTAAATACTTACATGCATATGCTGCAGATGCACAATTCTTAACACTGTTCATGTTAAAATAAAAATGGTTTTGGGATCCCAAACCCATATGTTTTCACGATTTTGTAACTAATAAAAAAAGATATCTCTGATACAAATTGTAAGCATCAATTCTTCCAATACAAATGTTAATAAAAGTCAACGAATTTAGATCAACTGTCTTTATTATAAGACTAAGATAAAATTGCTAGATGCTTCCTAGACAGTCATTTCATTTAAATTCTAGTACATAAATATTTAAAACAAATAAGAATTTTAATAATTATAATATGTTTGACCTAATGAAAAGTGCCAATAAAACTCCACAAAACAAATGTGCCTGATAAAAAAAAAATAAGACGAAATTTTGTTCACAATAAATTTAATGGATTTAAAAAAGTTTTCGATAGCATAGGCTAAGACATGGTTTAAATCGGGGGGCTAAAAGTCTCCTAAATAAAGATAAAAAAAAAGTTTTAAAAAAAATTAAGATTTTAAAATTTCAAAAAATCTTGAAATGTGGCAAACCTTGTGAATAATCAGGATATAATTTAATTTCATCAGGTTTTTAAGATACCAGATTTTGAATGTCATGATTCCGATAAGTGAAGAGAAAAAAAAGTATTAACGCATTTATCCAGAACAATTTATTATTCGATGCATTGGACTAACCAACATTCGTAGGTATATATAAAATCAAGATTTAGCTATATTTATAATCGAAAGGAATGAACTCAAAACTTGAATGATTGTTAGTTGTGGTTTAACCCATTTGGTATCAATTTATTATTTAATCGTAAGAGCATTTTCAGGTAATTTATTTCATCAAAAAAATACACAGAACAAACACGGAATGTTGTATGTGCTAATCCATGCAAACTATCCTGCAGTGAATTCTGGACAAACAATTCATCGAAAAGAAAGAAAATTATGCATATTAGGTATATGCAGAAAATGAAATTTCTGCGCCGGCGTTCAGCTGCTGGAGTGAAAATTTTTGACATATAGCTAAGCCACCAAGGCACGGGTCTTCCCTTTAAAGAATGTACAAATATGACCATAAAATCAAGATTCATCATTCAAGATTCCATCTGATTCCATTAGCTGTAAAACTTTTGAATACTTCCTGACCAATCTACAAACTATCAAATATTCAGTGAACCTTACTAATATCTTCGACTACATGGAGATCTTTCGAATATTTCCTGCTGTCTAGGAAGGATGTCTGAAAGAATTTTCTGTTACTTATGTAACGTTTTCTGAACATCTACAAAACTTATGTTTGACAAAATTTCCTTAACTTCTACGAAGATCCCTGAATTTATTTCAAATTCCATATATTTTTCCATCCCTCTTAATTCTACATCTACAAAATCTCTGAACATCTTTGCACTTCTGGAAAGACACCTCCAAGAAGTTCATGGAGCTTTTTTGGAGTAAGATCTCTGAAAAACTGCAACGATGTTCCCTAAACTAAAGCGAAGATCACTGAAGTTTTTAGAAGGGATAGAACTATTTTAGATATTTTACAAAATTCCCTGAACTTTTTTAAAAATTCCTTACACTTATACGAAATTTTACGCAGCTCCTCAAAATGCTACGAAATTCGAAAAACTTCTATAAAGTTGCCTGCATTTCTACGTTCCTCGTTGATTTTTCGTGAACATGAACGAAATTTCTTGAATTTGTACGTAATTTCCACAACTATTCCAAGTCCATGAGGAAAAAAAAACCTGAAATTATGTGGAGGTTGCCGATCAATAATGAGCTTCTCAAAAATAAATTAATGTTCCTTTAACTTCTACGAAGCTCCTTAAATTTAAATGAATTCTCTACTTCAGACTTTTTCTAAGTTCCTTTTTTTGAAGAATTTTTCTAAGGGTCAACGAAGTTCCCAGAATTTCTACCAAATTTACTCAATTTATACGATCTTCCCTGAACTTATATTTGAAGTTATACGAAGCTCCCACAAGTTTAAGAAAAATCCCTGTGCTCATGGCCAATGTGTAGAGCCTGAAGACGTCAAAACTGTTTCTTCTAGTCCAGAACATAGCAAAAGTAATCAACATAAAGGACTTTGAAAAATCGTTGTTGGTGTTCCAATTTTATTAATCACTGTTAAATAGTACCATCGAACTTAACAAGCTTGACAAAATACCGGAGAGTCAAAAAAAAACACCCAAAATTATGGAGGGGGCCTAGGCCCCTTGGCACCCCTATTTGTTACGCCAATGAGAAGGGGTGCAAGGATGCATGTGCAACATGTCATGGTATTATAGTAGTAATCAGTAATCACAGTCTATAGTTCTATCGAAAATTCATATTGACACCTAAGCATTTTATATGCT